AGACACAGCTGGATAGGTATGCCTGCTTCAGAGGCATAAGAAGAAGAAAGGACTGTAGCCAGAAGTACTTCTAAACTCCAGTTTAGTTTAATGAAAGTTTTCTACGCTATTTTRCGGGTAACAGTGCAGTCATATACAAATTGATGTTACCTTCACAGGCTAGAAATAGATGGCTGCTCACAGAGGTAGGAAATGATGAGGGATTGATTTTCCATGAGAAGGAGAAGAAAGCAGTAGGTGGTAACTGAAGTTAGTACCTCAAATACAGACAATGTTCCAATTTCTGCCCTAAGTGGGTATCACAAGAGAAATGACCACTGTGGGAACAAGCAGAGTTCAATGATCTGGGCAGTTTAGTGAAAAAGTCCTTTATGTATTTGGAAAAGAGGTGTGTAAGCTTATTCAAAACAGCACTCAACAGAGAATATGAGGACACACTTCAGTTGGGCAGCCCTTGAAGTGTAACCCATTAAAAAAGATACCTAGAGAGTAAACCACCAAATCTRGGTGGCAAAAGCTATTAGCAAGAGGTGGAACTCTTCTTTGCTGTTCTGCTGCCTGTGGGATCACAGCAGTTAAAACAGTTTTGAAGATGTGAATCAGAACGTATAGGGGAGGATGACATATCTGATGTAAATTAATAAATCAATCAGCCACACAAGATATGGAAACAAACCATCAATGAAAATGCTAACRTGAGAAAGTGTTCATTACAATTTAACAAGATATTTTGAATCAAATGTAAGTCTCATAAACTCCTTAATCTATTCAGCACACTCTTTGGTCTAATCTAGGCTCTAATCCAGTATAGGATTTTTATTGTGCAGAATAAATGTCTTAATGAGTCTTGCAGTGTTCCCTGATGYTTCCTATCTCACCTTTTCCCACTCTGGGGTAACAACATTGATTCAAAATATGTGCATACCAAGAACAGTGTGAGTCTGGGAAAAATAAATAATGACAGGATATGGGTGGGAGGCTGACTTGCCTTTCCCAGCACAATTACTTTTGAGAAAATGTCCCACACAACATTCTGCCAAATGTTGAAAGCCAGACGCCCCAAGTACAAGATTCTCAGACTTAAGGTGTAAGTAAAACACTACTGTGGCTTAAAATGTCTTAGAATTTACTTATAAACTGCTCTGGCTTAAAGGCAATTTGTGCCATTGTCACAAGAAGAGATCAAGTTAAAATCCTGGTGAATAAGTCAAAGCTGCTTCCCAGCTGTGGAAGAAGAAGATTTCTGACCTGTGTCAAAGACTAACTGTTTTCAAGCAAGTCAGAACTCTGCCCATTTTTTTGAGGAGCACAGACCAGTGATAAGATTTTCAGCCTGTGGTCTGAGTGCCCCATCCCCAAATAGGAGGGGAGGAGCAGTACCATAGAGCCTCCCAGGTGTGTGCATATTTACATTACCCTTACTTAAATTAAAGGCAACAGTTCGTGCTTGTTGGGTCCATTCTAAGATTTACAGGGGAAGGAACAATCCCAAGTCTCTCAGCCTATCCTCACAGGAGAGGTGCTCCATCCCTTTGATCCTGTTCTGRAAGGCACAGTGACTGACTCATTGTGTAAGCCTAACTAGCCTAAGTCTATCACTTGCTTGAGAAAAGATGGCAGAATTCAGCCTGCTATGCGAGGTGAATGCCCTTCCCCTTCTGACAGCCATTGCACACTTTAATGTTGAAATACTCCTTGGAAAGGCACAGCTGAGACAGTATGTAAAGATCAAGGATATAACATGAAGGGAGCGCTAAAACATGGAACTAGATTGGGTGAGTCAGGGGACAGACTGTTTTCAAACTTATTTTTGAGTTTCAGTGAGGAGTCAAAACTATTTGAAGGAAATTTATAAAGTCAAAGCATTTGTGGTAGTGGTAGGTGGTACAAAAAGGACCAATACAGCTGCAGCTTGGGATGCTCAGACTGGATATTGGGGCCGGCATCTTCCCCATAGAGGTGGTGCRACACCTGAGCAGGTTACATAAGAACTTGAGAATCTCCATCCTTGGAGGTTTTTAGTATTTACCTGAACAAACCTGTGTGTGTCTAGTCTGACACTGGAGATTATCGAGCTTTGAGCAGGCAGCTGGACTAGGTATAGCCAGAGGTTCCTTCCCACCAACACTGCTGTGATTTGGCAGTCTGTGACAGAGCTCGGCCATGAATGAGGAAAGCACTCATCTTACAATCATGCTGCAGTACCACATCCTCTGTTCTCCACATCAGGTGCTGCTCCTGTGCTTAACATGCTGGAAAACAGAGTGCAGGGTGAGGATTGGTGGGAGAATTGGTGGTTGCTGACACTGTTGGTTCTTGTCCTGATACTGAACCGATCTACAGTCTGCCCTGACTTTCGTTATCTTCGGTGCCAACTAGGTGTCTTATTCAACCAGATTGWGCTGGAGTGTTGGATGAGGAAGTAATAACACTTGATTGATACTCATGAATTTTGAGTAGACCCGGGGACCTSTCTTCACAGAAGTAGTGAGACATCTGCTGTCACTGGAGCCACTGGCAGGATTTTGTTAGCCAGGGAGGAAAGAACAGAACACAGCAAAATTCATGGACCTCTTGACAAACAAGCTCAGTGCAGCTGTTCCCTGTGTACTCACCCACTAGCATGGAAAAGGTTTCTTACATAATTAGCTGGAGCAAAAGTAGCTATAGAAAACGTCTGCACACGTTGTATCACTGTGTAAATTATTGAGCTGATGTTCTGGAGATAATAGAGGAAACCCTTCTTTCTTCTGTCCTGAGGATGGCAGCTCTTAAAGTTTACATCTGTTTCCTGGAAGCTGTACCCCCTCTAGACTCTGTGTAGATAATTAATTTGTAATATTCATTAGACAGAGAATCACTGTTATAATATATAGACAAACAGAAGGATTTCGTGCTTCTGTATTGACTCAGCTGTGGGGTTTTTTTTCTGGTTGTGGGTGAAATTGTTGAATAAATGGCAAAACCCCAAAAAAACCAACAACAAAAAACAACCAACTGTTTTGATGTTTATCTGGATAATATTTCTGAGCAATAGYTACAATCATTAGTGAATCACAGGCAAGACAGAACCCTTGCTGTAGCTGCATTAGGGGCTCTGTGCTTTTTTCTTATCATCTGCAGACACAGAGGATTCCCAGAATTGCGTGGGAGAGATGTGCTGTGCCTGATATCACTCATGTTCTTCTCCCATACACTGTATATGATCCAGCTAGATCCCAGTGCTTACTGGAGTCCAGGAACAACTCCTGTACTAAACGAGGGACAACTCCTGTACGAGATCATGAGCTTTCCCCAAATACAGAAAAGGTATGGAGAGCAACTCTCTTCCTCAACTGTCCTCTAACTCCAGGAGAGATTATGTTCCTCTTGTTCCTCTGGTTTCCAACTTAACCTTTTCTAAAATTTCCCTGAGCACCGGCTTCCCGTTCCCTGGTGAGCCCTGCTGGCCACAGGGATGGTGACTGGAGGTCTGTGCCCTACACACAGTGCTGTGCAGGCCAGCAGGGACCTCCAGCCAGAGCAACCTGCCTGTTTTAGAAACAACACGTTACACATGGTCACTTCCCATACCGCTGGGATCCAGCATTTTTAAGAGTTCCACCCCCTCCTTCCCTCCCTTTTTACCCAGAGAGCCACACAAGACCCTCAGGTTGTGGAGACTTGCCACAACACCACAGGCAGAAGAAACACGTCTGAAGGCACAGGAGGCAGGCAGGGATGTGGGCTGAGATCTATGATGGCACTCAAAATTAGGAGTGCTTGGAGGATTGCAGAGCTACAAACAATGCCCACCTCATTCTCTTTYCCTCCGGCTGGAATGAAACAAAGAAGGAGCTGCAGGTCCATATCCGGTTCATCTGCACAGTTGTGCTAGCTGGATGTGTGCAACAGGTACAAGGCTTTGTTGAGGAAAACAAACCCCCCCAAAAAAAACTTAGAAGCAGTTTTCCACTTCATGTGTCTGTCAAGAAAACGGTGGCTATTTGTTATTTTGGGTGGTAAGCAGACTCTACTATGGTGAAGCTGCTTTATCCTGCAAGCCCCAGCCATCACTTCCAGCATCAATGAGTACCTGGGGTTGGGGCAGAGGTCACTTCATGCCCTTCTGGGGCAAGGTTACTTATTCAGAGAGARATGCTGAGCTACACTTGTGCAGCTCTATAACAATGAAGCCAAGACTGTTGCTCAGTGCACACTGTACTTGCAAACACACCTTCCACTGAAACTGGTTCCCTGATTTCTTCCTGAGGAAACATGTACTACAGCAAGAATTTCATTTGGCAAGAGACAATGTTTTAGGTGTATGGTGATATCTGACAATTAAGGTAGATGTCTCAATGGATATGTGGCAAACTCATCTGCAAGCTACCTCCAGAYATCCAAGTACCTGTGAACTCTGGCTGCCATCACTGAGGCAGTAGAAATGTAGCAGACTGTAGAGATGCTGAAAGATAGATTAGAAGCAGTTCTATTGGAAACGGTGGAAAGTGGTTCTATATTAACTGGTGATTGATAGTGATTGTTGCCATCTTCTAATTTGGACATTCAGGGTCCTGAGTGGGCATATTTGTGAAAGTCAAGTGATAGAAAGTATCCCATGTGTTCTGAACACTGCCCTGCGCCTGGTGAATATTTCTGTAACCCAGTTACAGCAAGAGGCTTTTATTGAACAGAGTAGGCAAATGCAGAGGGAAACAGAAAACCCATTATTCCTGTGACAATTATACTGTATTATATTACATATTTGTGTAATCCACCCTCTCAGCCTGATAAACAAGAGCCTGTACATGGGTTTTGAAAAGCAGGCGACCATAATCTTCTGTGATCTGGGAATTTTCTTACGTACACCTCTGCTAGCTTGTAAAACAGGTAAGCCWTAACCTTTGCATGATGATATTGTTTAGGACTCCAGTCCTACCCTGAAGTGCATTCTGGCTTTTTAATCTTTCTCCAGGGGCTTATTCAACATAATGCTTCACTTATATCTGATCTSTACTTTCAGTATCATCTCTACTTTCAGACATTTTTGAGTCTGCTGCTTTGCAAGTAATTGCATTTCCATCTTTTTTTCTTGTTCTTGCTCCCCTGTGTACCTTCTTGCTGCATGCTGGATGAAGCAAACCTTGGGAGCACCCAGCTCACATCTGTTTACTACAGAAAGTTTGTAGGAGAAAGGTTCAGTCCAAGCAAACATGACCAAAGAAACTGAAAGATGATACTTACYCTTATTACTGGTGATCTTCCGCTGACCGCCTCTAAACTGGTGTGGAGCTTTCTGTATAAATGCATGTTCACCTTTTCTGATGAAATTCGTTGAACTCATTTTCTTGAGAAATTTTTTTAATTAGCAGGTAGGAACATATCCCTTCATTTTCCCTGAGCTTTCAACTATGGGTGCGAAAGATATCCTTTTACAGTAGCTTTGTAAAATGGATACACACTAGAACATTTTCTTAAATACAAACCCTTCCTTTCMATTTACCTCTTTGAAGTAATTGTCTGTGAGTACAGGAAAACATTTTGTTTTATTCCAGTCCATCCTTGCTCACACACAGCTAACTGAATGGATCAACTGAAATCCCAGCTTTTCAGTACTGGTAACAATTTCTGTCTCCATCTGTCCCTCCTTTCCTTTTGGTTGGCTCCTGTGCAATGCCAGTGACCATATCTTTGCCCCAGCTCTTGCCCTTGCTGCTATGTCCACATCACTGGAGGATGCAATGGATATCTTGATCAGGATTTTCCATCACTACTCTGGCAAAAAAGGAGACAGATACAAGCTCAGTAARGGAGAATTCAAGGAGCTTTTCACCAGTGAGCTCACTGACTTCCTTTCAGTAAGACGCAGCTTCTGAACCTCCTGAGTGACTTTTCACGGGTGGGTTAAGCAGCAATTTGAGTGCTTGGATAGGAATAGCATCTGCTTGTGCAAGGCCCATCCTGTCACAGTCTCTTGGACAGTTCTTTGTGGAGCCGTACAGAAGAATATGATGTTGAATGTCCCATTTGAGAAGTGTGTTTTCAGAGGATGGTTGAGCTCCAGTGCTCCCCCATGTACCACTGGCAGCAGAGATAGATACTGGTGCTCTGCACRCTCCTCGGTGCTTCTGAGCAGGAAGGCTAGGCTAGCCTAGAAGCAGTAGTAATATCAATACCAAATAGAGTTCAATTCATTTTTTTGTTTGTTTATTTGCTTGTTTGYTTTTAATAATAGGGCGTAGGTAAGTCCATTGAAGAATTAAATTCAGCAACCAATTCTCATGGGACAGGAAAGTAGTTTGTGCATGCTGGCCACACAGTACCGCTGCTCGTGTGCCCTGCAGAGAGGTGCTAAGAAAATGCTTTTRATAATAAGCTAGTGATCTCAATATCTCTTTGCATGTTTGTTATGTTCTATATTAGGCAGCATGGATGCTTTTATGGAATCATAAGCATTAATATTTTTATGTATCTTCTTAATTATAAAAATTAATGCGGACCCTCTGACCAACAACAGGGTTTTCTTTACACTGTATGCATTTCCTTGGATTTTCTTTATCTTGGCTATTGATTTGTTACTGTGAGATTCAATATTCTTGCTCCCACTGAATAGGATGTGCTGTTTGGCAATAAGAGGTCTTCTGAAGGTGATGGATGAATGTATAATATTACAATTTTTGAGTAGCCTGTTAGAAATCTAAGTGCTATTTTTTAAGGCATGATACAGAGAAATGCACAYGACAGATCCATCTTGTCAAAAGGGATCTGTGCTCAGCATTTCCTAAAAGCTGTTTAATTTGTTTCAGTGCCTATTTAGCACCTGTGTTCCTTCTAAGAGCTACACCGTTTTTAGTTTTTGATGTTGTAGTGACTAGAGATGTTTTACTGCTCAGGTGCATATGTGATGCAGCCTTCTCTTTAACTGCACCAGTCTCATAGCACACTAGTGGTGCCAAGTGTGTCAGAATTGCGCATTCAAGATCTGCACAGCTATATCACCTTCCTTTCTCTCTAGGACCAAAAGGACCCCCTCCTTGTCAATAAAATTATGAATGACCTGGACTCTAATAAAGACAGTGAAGTGGATTTTAATGAATTTGTCATTCTAGTTGCTGCTTTGACTGTGGCATGTAAGGATTTCTTTGAAGAGCTAAAGAAAGAGGGCTTTTAAAAATCCTCAATGTAATCAATCCCTGGTTACAAATGCAAGCAAAGCATGCCTAGTTAGGTAGCCCTCACTGGTGTTTAGTGAATGCAAACCATCATTCCTCCAACTGCTACTGCTGTAAGACATTTATGGAGCTGATCAGCAGCTGGTGTAAGCTGGACCATAGCCAGCTTTCACTACTTGAGATCTGGCTTTTCATATTTCCAGTCTTTGCACTCCATGCATCTGTAACATGCCTTCATCAGTTGCCCGGGTCAAGGGCTTGGGGTGACAGATCTTTTGGCAGGAGTTGAGACTTGACTTCTATTTCTTCAATGTCTGTGGAAAGTAAAAAGCACAGGAATGTTACTTATATACTTTCTGAATGGAAAATTTGGAATGAGACATAAAACTTGCAATTTAGTTTTCAGTCTTTTTATAACAACCATATTTTGCAGCTCAAAGCAAGCAGCTTCTTTTTAGCTCAGCTCTGCTTATTCAAAAACCATTTTTAGATGCTGCTCCCCACACTCATATTTCAGATGTGGTCACAGCTGTYTCTTGCTGCCTGAGCAGACAATACCACTGCCATTGTTGCAGGTTCATTTCCTCCATGTCCCCAGCTTCAAATTTGTTGTGTTGGCATTACTACATCCCAGYAGTCAACCCCTTCACTCGGCATAAATGAATTTATTCATATGATACATTATTCAAATGCATAGATTTAGTCAGCTAATTGCTCAGAGGGCTGATGGAAGGACTGGGTCTTTGGGGGAAATGTGTAAATGCCTTCTGCTTTCACTATCTGGCATTGTTAAAAGGAGGTCTTTTAAAGGACTTGTGGGGGATTTAATGATGGAATTCCAGGGCACAACTTTGTCATATGAGTCATCTTATAGAAAAATGATGATTTCATCTCATGCTGATCCAACCCCTGCAGGGAAGCAAAGTTTGCCTGGGCCCTATAGCCAGGCAAAGAGAGATAGGACAACCCCTTCCAGTGTTAACTTGCTCTTGGGATGAATGAAGAGTATTTACACGCTCCTCTTTGAATTATGCATAATTCCAAAACCCTGCAAATCCTCACTGCCAGGATGTTATGGTTATTTTCTTGCATGGAGAGCTCTCTTATTTTCTTGTTATTTTGTTGGTAACTTCAAGCTATAATAAAGGCATCTGAATTAAATGAAGATTWTCTGTTTGTGTAAGAGGTTATTAAAAAAACACTCCCCAACAAAGATGTACCCAGCTAGGCAAAATTTGAAGAATGCAATTCATTTGTCTCTCCTTCCCAGAGCTCCAAACATCATTCAATAAAGAGTAAATTAGTATGAAATTACACGTGATTAAGAATATGTAATCTATTATAAGCAGGAAATTCTACAGGGTGTAATAAATAAAACAAAGGAATAGACGACATCCTAAGAGAGGAACCATCACCAAATTATATTATCCCAGAAAAAAAAAGCAAACTTTGCATTGGTGACAGAGCCCCAGCATGCCTTAACCCTTCAGTGACAAAGTTATATGGGATTCACAGAATATCTTCTAGACAAACACAGCAGAAAATGTGAAAAAAACTGGCAACAACAGGACAACTTTTTATCCCCTTTAATGTCATGTACCTCAATGTCATTGCAAGTGTTGGACCAGATAGCAAAAGCATCAGCCAGAAAACGTGAGACTGTTTTTATGGTTTCTTATAGGTTGCTAGCCTCTAAGCCTTTCCCCTTCCACCAAGGGAAAGYGAAAGAAGAGCAGTCTAAAGTTTCAACTATAAGATAAAAGAAATTAGATTATCCCACTAAAAACCAGTTTCTTCTTTACAACTTTTGAGCAAGAGGCTTTTTAGAAAGAAGCTACAGAAAGTTCATAAACCCTCTGCCCATTCCTAATGAGCCCTTGGACRTGTAGCAGCCCATGTGCAAAGCAGAATTATGGTAGGTCACAGCTGGCAGCAACAATGTGCCCTGGAGTGAGCAGCAGGAGTTGCTGCCGTGATAAAGACRGGCAGTGGAGCCATATCATCAGCTGCATTTACTAGGGGTTGTGTACATCCTGATTCCTCTGTGGAAGCGGCTCGCTTGCACATGAGGTGTGGGTGAATCAGAGAAGAATGACTCAAATTATCTTCTGTCCAACAAAGTTTTATAAAACCTCATAAATCACTGTTTTTGGCTTGTCTTGTTAGGTGTTTCTTGTTCCTGTTTTAACTGCAAGGACAAATGTTAACCKCTATCCACTTTAAAGAAGTAGCCTTTTCGTACAAATACCAAGCAGAAAATAAGGAAAGTGCGCAAAACAGACTTGAAAGCTCAAGCCCACAAAGACTTCACACAATGTGGGGCCCTGGGGTAAGATTCGCTATCCTGTTCTTGGCCTGACCCACTGCACCGTGGCCCTCTCTCACTTCTTTCCCACAGGAGCCAACTAATGTCCTGTTAGCAGGCATCATTTCGAAGAAAGATACATGAAGATCACCTGAAAGTTTTGAATTGCCTCTGAACCAGAAAAAGCTAGAAGCAATCCTCTGTTCTGTAAGCACTGCTCAGGAAGGAAAACKGCATTGAAATCACTTACATGGGCTGTGCAAGATGGGGTTTGCAAGGCTAACCTCACCATGAACATTTTGTCCTGCAGATGTGAACATTTTGAATTTACCTTCTCTCAGAAGGGAAAAATGTCTCTTTCATACCTGAAGGTGGGATTTTTTTCTCTCATTGTTTACTGACATTTTCCAGCTGTAGTTCATGAATCTAGGAAGCACTTTCAAGTTTTACATGCAAACGAAGCTTGCTGTGTGGCTTTCTCCAGAGTCCCTTAGCTTTAGGAATTATGCCTAATTATGGATATTTTTTCTATTTATTTTATCAGGATGTCTGAAAAACCTATAGAAAATTGAACACCACTATAGGGCCTAATATTTTCAAGTTACATTGAAGCCCAATAAAAATACAACAATACCAGAAAAGATCTTTTCTATATATTGTGAAATTGCTTGGCTTGACATCTAAAGAGTCGATTTTCAGAAGATAAATTACATTATCTTGAGAGCCTCATCCTCTGCCATTTGCTTTTATTTCAGTTCAAAAGAGACTTGAAGTGGCAGTGCAACGGGGTACACAAAGCTTGATGCATTACCTGTTAGTAAATTGATAACCTCTTCAGGTTCACTATCCGACTCCCAATCCCAAAGATGTGTGTATGACACCACCATGAAGAGAGGTGGTTTGTAAAGGAGCTGTGCTTCCAAGCTGTGGCTTGCTGGCTAGGTCCAGTAGGAAAGCACCAGCTTTCCTACTTTTCAATGGAAGGTGTGGAAGTGCAATGGGATAATAATCCCAGGCAGTGAGGAAGGTGACAAGTGCAATGAGAATATAATCTTCCCCAACAATGTTTCCTCCCTGTAAAGGTGTGAGACAAAGTTGCTTGGGGTCTTGGAAAGAGAGAGAGAAGAGACCCCAGGAGACCTCAGCAGAACAGATGATATTTCCAGTAGCCAGAAATGTCATTAGTTGCTGTCTACTACTTGTAGCACTGCAGGTCCACCCCACGTCCCTCAGACACCCAAGGCAGACATCTTTTCCAGGCTCCATGCTGCAGGGTAAAGCAGAACGTGGCCAGGAGAAAAACTCGCAGGGACAGCCCAGTGTCCATCATGCCAGCTCAGCAGCACACATAAAAGATCCAGATCCTCTCACATCACAGCCTTGAAAAGGYTGGGTAAAAGGTCATATACAAAACTTGTATCTGAAATCAGATCAATCTATATAAAGATTTTTGACTGGCAGGAAGATTTAGATTCAGATTAAGGTTCAGACTGTGATGTGACATCATGTGCATGTCTAATAAGGGTTCTGATTGACAGGCCAACAATTATTACATGTGTCTTTAGGGATAATTAAGTCTATTGAATAGCATTGTGTTATTTGAAGAAAAAAGGGGTCACATTGTCAATTTTATCTTTCTTCTGCCACATGATATGGCATGAGAGAAAATGTTTAATTTATGATCTGGAGATCTGTTTTCTAAATGAGCTCCCTCCACTTCTGAGTTGAGGTGTGGTGGGCTACAGGTCCTGGGCAGCCATCAAAGAGAGCACATGACTGAACTTCAGCAGAAATATTTTTAAAAAAAGGCAAAAAACTTTCCCTTTTTTGAATACCAACTCTCAGCCACCTGCAATCAGTTGTGTATAAGGGGCAACTCCCAAGGAAGAGAACTGCAGCTGCATCCACTTATTTTGCCCTTGCAAGTAGATTCTCAGCTGATGTAAAATGACAGAGCCTATTGCACTTTTAGTGGCATAATTTTGCAGCAGCTGAGAACATGTGCTTGAGACTTTAAATTAGCCTTCAATGGAAAGCTGTGTTTCTGTAAGCTGGTTGGCTAAATAAGGACATGTCTGTAAAACTGCAAGTATTGCAACAATACAGCTAAGAGGAAGACAGAAGGAGTAGTTGCTCAGAGCACAGGTCTTTGGGGGAAAATTAGTGGAAAATGTTCCTGTTATAATTTTACTTTAAAATCTAAGCTGTTTGCTCAGGTCCTGGTTGACTTCATGGGTTGCAGAGAAAATTATCTTAGTATAGCTTTCAAATATCAGTGGGCTCTGCCTTAAAACTCTGTRTCGCTTTGACTTTATCTTCCCAGCAGTTGCATGAATGCAGAAAAGCACTACAGAAAAAAGCTATGGCAGGAAGAAGACTTGTGTGTAGAACAAGTTGTAAAGGGCAGAAAAGCAACTGAACCACCTGGAGCACAGTTTAAGGCTGGTTTTGGGAGTCGAAAAATGGCAAGAAGCTGAGAGTGCTGCAGAAAGATGTAAATTCCTCAGCCCTGGCAGGTGACATCAGCAAGTGGCAATGGCAAACAGATCCCTGTGGTTGAACAAAGTGGCTGGAAGAGTGATGGGGCTGGAGAGTTCCATCCCATTGAGCTATTGATGCCTTGAGTTAAGTGAAAACACAACTATTTTTGCCATTGCACTGATAACCTRATTTTTCAATTATCACTCAGGAGAG